AAAAGATGTAAAGTTTCCGTCTTTTTTTTTTTTTTGAGAGACAGAGTCTCATTTTGTTGCCCTCAGTAGGGTGCTGTGGCATCACAGCTCACAGCAACCTCCAGCTCTTGGGCTTAGGCGATTGTCTTGCCTCAGCCTCCTGAGTAGCTGGGACTACAGGCGCCCTCCACAATGCCTATTTTTGTTGCAGTTTGGCTGGGTTTGAACCTGCCACCCTTGGTATATGGGACCAGCACCCTACTCACTGAGCCACAGGTGCTGCCCAAGACTCCATCTTTTTAATGGCTGAATAGTATTCCATCATATATATATACCACAGCTTGTTAATCCATTCCTGAGTTGGTGTACATTTAGGTTGTTAAATTGAGCTGCAATAAACATCCTAGTGCAAATGTCCTTATGATAAAAGGATTTTTTAATCTGGGTAGATGTCTAGTAATGAGATTGCAAGATCAAATGGGAGGTCTAATTTTGAGTTCTTTGAGGATTCTCCATACTTTCTTATAAAAAGGTTGCATTAATTTGCAGTCCTACCAGCAGCATTGATAAATCAAAGAAGAAAATGGGGAAAAGAATCCCTATTCAATAAATGGTTCTGGGAGAACTGGATAACCACATGTAAAAGACTGAAACTGGTCCCACACCTTTCACCACTTACAAAAATTGATTCAAGATGGATAAATGATTTAAAATTTGGGGGCAGCACCTGGAGCTCAGTGGGTAGGGTGCCAGCCCCATATACCGAGGGTGGCAGGTTTCAACTGGCCTGGCCAAAGAACTTGGCCCTGGCCAAACTGCAAGAAAAAAATAGCCAGGCATTGTGGCAAGTGCCTGTAGTCCCAGCTACTGGGGAGGCTGAGGCAAGAGAACCGCCTAAGCCCAGGAGTTGGAGGTTGCTGTGAGCTGTGATACTACAGCACTCTACAGAGGGCAATAAATTGACACTCTGTCTCTAAAAAAAAGATTTAAAATTTTTGAATATATACTGTAGGTAAAGCATTGTCCCAGGTGTTATAAGATATAAAAGGATGAAATAGAAATTGATTTTGCCCTCAGTATAGGGATATGATGTACATATAATCCTATAACCCAATGTCAAAAGTTTAAAGTGCTATTAGAGAGGACCAAATAGAATGTTATGGAAGTTTGGAGGAAGAAGGGACCTCTTAAGACTGGGACCAGTGAGATTGAGGAGGAAGAACAATGGGGATCGTTTCATGCACATGATTGCCCTTGAGTGGCACCCTAAAAGATATGTTGTATTTGGGCCCAAAGACATAAAATGAAGATAATTTGTTCAGAAGCAGAGATGTTAAAAATACATTATATATCATGCATGACCTGGAGGCAAGATATATATAAGGATTATGTATAAGGAACAGTTGATAGTTGACTTTCACTAGAGCATAGGGTAGCATTAGAGAAGGAATTACAAGAGTTAATGTGGGGAAGTCAAGCTGAATACAAATCATAGCTGGGGAATGAAGGGTGTGGGGAGACTTCAATGCCAAGCAATGGAGTTAAGCTTTTTTCAAGAACAGAGGGAGAGCCACAGAGGTTTTTGAACAAGGGACTTCAATCATGTCTTAGGCAGTTTGGGTAGAAGCTATTCTAGGACAGGTGGTCAGGAGGTGGGGAGACTTGGAAACAAGAAATCTATGTGGCGTTATTTGAGTAGGTAAGGGGAAAGGAAATAAAGTTCAAAGTCCAAATTTTACTATAATTGATAAAGAATAAAAGGAAATCACACACAGAAATACAGATAGAAAGCCAAATTGGGGGTGTGGGGGAATGTGTAGCTTTACCAAAATTTAAAGAAATGCAAGTTAGCACTTTAAGGTATCTATATCTATGTAACTAGTTAACAGTTTTCATACGAGAAAATATATGTTATTTTTTATTATGTTTAATTTATTTTACAGTTTTTGGCCAGGGCCAGGTTTGAACCCACCACCTCTGGTATATGGGGCTGGCACCCTACTCCTTTGAGCTACAGGCACCACCCTTATGTTTAATTTTTTATTATGTTTATTATATGTTAGTTGTTATTTTTGTTTCCAGTCTAGCCAACTCTGATATCACTAAACTCCTGTTGTTAATGGTACAGGTTTAAGTAACAGTTAATTACATAAAATACATACATGTACATATGATAACATGAGATAGTTACAAGTCTCCATAATAAGACTACAAACTCCCTGAGAAAGGGTCAGGTTTGACCGCTTCTGTTTGACTCAGCCTGCCTCAAATTCTCACTGAACTGATCCCCAAACACCCTTACCTCTGGCGAGAGGGCAGGCCCAGCCCATCCCCAAGGCTGTGTCCTTGAGTTTCAGTCCTGCTCCTCTCAGGCTTTACTACCTCTTCCTGTAAGTACACATAGAGTTGAAGTCAGTCACAGAGCCCTGCCAGGCATCACAGATCCCTACAGGAAGCCCCTGTCAACCCACACACAGGGCAGAAACTAAACTGGGGAGTTACCATGAGCTCCAGCCCTGGATTCTCTATGCCAGTCTCCACTGTGGTTGCAGCAACAGGCTTTTTTCCCCTAGCTTTCTCCATCTCCTGTTCTCCTCACCTGAAAAAGAAATCCAAAGCTAAGGCTGAAAGATTGGCCATTCTGCTATGTGAAGCTGGGGAGAATTTTTAGGGCCAGTTAGCCACAGAAAACACATAACTACAAGTCTTTAGAGGCTTTGTTGATTTATTTAAGAACTGTGAACTGAGAAGATTGAATGCATAATTTTAATATAATAAATAATGAATATAGAATCTGCTTTCCGATTGTGAATAGCTAAGGAAGGGGCAATAAGACAGGAGAAGAAAAATGAAAGGCAGGAGAAATTGAATTGAATTGACCCTGGGTTAGAAAAGACCTTGTTTGGTCCCTCAAAGGATAAGTCATATGGTAACTACTTCTTTGAGTCTGGGGGAGGCCCTCCTGAGCTGTGCTGAGGAAAAAGGAAATAGAGGGAAAAAGAGAGCTGGGAAGACCCCAGACCCTAAAATGCTGCCAAAAAAGACTAAGAGTAATAGGCCTACAAGTCCCTGACCCTATTGTAGCATGAGAATGTTTTTGGAGCATCAGAGAAAACTCCTCATATGTTAAATAAAGGAAACCTACATTTAGAATAATCAGTATAAGTGTTAGTGAAGAAAGTTTTAAAGCAAAGTAAATAAACATTTGAATCTCCAAATAAGCAACCTAATACATGAACATTTGCATTTATAATACAGATTCATTCTGAGATGTTTCTTTACTTCACAGAAAATTTCCTTACCCATGAAATTGCTATTAAAAATATGATCTCTTGGTTCGGCGCCTATAGCTCAACCGGCTAAGGCGCCAGCCACGTACACCTAAGGTGGCGGGTTCGAATCCCCAGCCCGGACCCGCCAAACAACAAT